GGGTGGAGTCTATGGCATTCTACCTGTCTGAGGTCCCACCCCTCTGCAAACCCCACCCTCTCCAGGCTCCACCCCTCAAATCCCTAAGAATTTGTCAGCATGTAGTTGGCAACCCCATCTCCTTCCCAGCTAGCCATCAACCTATCATTATCTGCCCCTTTGACTTCAGCTGACTTCTGCCCTCCCTTCTGCAGAGCAGTTGTAATTCTGAGTGCTCTCCAGCCCTCACCTGGAGATTGGCAACAATGGTTCCCTATGTGGGACTGACTGGTTTGGAGGGTGGAGTCTATGGCAGTGTACCTGTCTGAGGTCCCACCCCTCCTCAAACGTCACCCTCTTCAGGCTCCATCCCTCAAGTCTCCAGGAATTTCCCATCTGGAGTTGGCAACCCTATCAGGACTGGCCCCAATGTGTTTTCTCCCAAAGCTCCCTTCCCCTCCCCCACCACCCACTCCCAACAGGCACTGAGGGGAATGTAGGGTTGCCAGCTCTAAGGAGGGAAATACCTGGAGGTTTGGGGGGTGGATTCTGTAGAGGGCAGCATTGGGCGGGGGGGGGGCGGAAGGACTCAGCAGGTATAATGTCATAGGGTCTACCCTCCAAAGCATCCATTTTCTCCAGGGGAACTGATCTCTGTCATCTGGAGATCAATTGTAACAGTGGGAGATCTCCAGGTCCCACCTGGAGATTGGCAACCCTAGGGGGAAGTCAGCTGCACAGCAGGGGGTTGAAGAGAATGGTTTGATGGCTGCTGGGCCAAGATTGGCAACAATAGTTCCCCAGGAGCCCCATCGTAAATGCACCAAACAATTCCTCAAGATTTTCCAAAACACTACTCTGTTTTGGGCTCCTGGGGAACTTTGAAGTAGCACCAAAGCTTTAAGATCTCTCCAGCTGTCACCTGGAGACTGGCAACAGCTTGTCTGGAGTGTGGGCAGTATGGCATTGTATCTGTCTGAGGTCCCCCTCTTCCTCCTCCTCCTCAGATTCCACCCTCAGCAGGCTTCATCCCTAAAATATCCTGGAAGTTTCCAACCTGGAGTTGGCAACCGTATCTGCCTGTCTGTCTTAAGTTTTACAACCACCACCCCCCCCACAGCCTCTGCCTAGGGAGCAGCTGACATCATTCTCCTCTCCCAACTGAAAATTCCAACTGCCTTGCGGGGGAGGGGTGAGTTTGAGGTGTGGAATGGAGTGTAGTCCAATCAGCTTCCATATGTAAATGACCTTGGAACGCTGGGCGGGGCTGCACAAAGCAGCCAATGAACCCAGCCAGTGTCTTCCGAGTGGCAGTTTTTTCGGCCTAACACTAAAGGAGTGCATTTTAGAATTCTGGCACCCAAAACCCTTTTATAATATAGGAGAGATGTTATGTGAACTTCTTGCCAAGATGGTGACAGTATACTCTTTTGTTTATATCATTCATAACTTTTTGTAAAGGTAAAATTATCTTCTCTTCAAATGTTTTATAGGATGTGACGTAACAACCCAGTCAAATATCTAAGAATATATCTCATGGGACAGAATGTTACATTATTAAAGGACAATTACATGACAACCTGGTCCAAAATACAAAAAGATTTTGAAAGATGGTCCAAATTACATCTATCCTGGCTAGGAAGAATTTCTGCTATAAAAATGAATGTGCTACCGAAATTAAACTTTTTGTTACAGATTATTCCAGTTTCAATTCCTGAAAAGACTTTGAGTGACTGGCAAAGACAAATAAATAAGTTTGTATGGAAAGATAAGAAGCCAAGAATAAGATTTAAAGTACTGCAATATGAGAAGAAAAGAGGTGGTCTGGCAATACCGAACATTAAATTATATTACCAAGCCGCTGGGCTAGTTTGGATATCAGATTGTATCAGACATCCCAATGAAAGATTGATAAAATTAGAATCTTCAGATCTTGATGATGGACTACATAGTTACCTGTGGATTTAAAAAATCTGTATCAAAAAACAAAACCCAAGATAAAACACACATAGTCAGAGACAGCTTATTTAAAATTTGGGAAATGCTACGAAAAACTAATAATGTCACCAATTATTGGTTATTATGGCAATTACACAAGGAGAAAGTAATGATTTTATAACATGGTGATATGATAAACTTGCAAGGTGGCATGTGGCAAGAGATTAAAGAAGAAGGGAGATACAATGGTGGATATACTTTCAAATTGCTTCTAGATTAAAAAATGATATCTGCACTAAGAGAGGAGTTATTAATGAACTGACTGATTTTAAAAAGATTGTCTCACAATCTAAAGACCATTTATTAGGGCGAATTCACAAGTTATTGCTTCAATATGATTCTGAAGGAGAACAGGTCAAATCTTGCATGATTAAATGGATGCAGAATTTTGGTGAGGAAATAGTTTCAATGTTGGGAAAATCTATTGACTAAAGGTGTTAGATTCACTGCTAGCCAAGCATTAAGAGAAAACTGGTACAATATGTTTTACGGATGGTACCTCACCCCAAAAGGTATTGCAAAGATGGATAAGAATTAGAAAGGGGCTTGCTGGAAATGTAAAAAAGAAGATGGCACCTTTTATTATAGGTGGTGGACTTGCAACAAGACGAAAAGATACTGGAAAAATATACATGAAGAAGTTCAAAATATTTTAAAAACCAAATTCCCGATTAAACCAGAGACTATGTTACTGGGAATCTTACACATAATATAGACAGAACCTCACAAGACTGCTTAGATATATGTTGACAGCTGTCAGAGTAATATTTGCAATGAAATGTCCTACCATAGAGATCTGGAAATAAAAACCAGCTGGGTATGCAACACTGGCAAAAGTAACCAATTATATAAACAAAAGACCATTGAAAGAATTTCAGCAGAAATGGCAAGCTTATTACTCATATGATGGGAATAATTCACTTTTTTTAGAAGGAGGAGGAGGGGGAATCTGTTGTGGGGAGAGTAAGGGTAAGGAGTTTTGAAGCCGCTCTGAGACTCCTTTGGGTAGTGAAGGGCGGGATATAAATCCAATCTCCTCCTCCTCTTTTTTTAAAGTTCTGGAATTACCTGAATATCATATTAAATGTGATGAAGATATTGATTACAGTTTCAACACTTTATTTTGTATTCCACTAGTAATTAAATAATTTGTAAGAATAAATTTAGGTTTAGATAAACAAGACAATATTAAGGTTTTTACAATGGTTTAATTTTAGCATAGAAGTTCATTCAGTTGTTAAAGATATGATCTCTTTTATTGTTAAGAGATTATCGCTAACTTTAGGAAAGTTCTTGTTTATTCTTTATAGCCAGAATCTATCCCAAAATTCTGTAACATTGATTTTTATTGTCTGCTTCTATATTTGAAATATGTAATACATTTGGTAATTCGTCTGATTTTACTTGTTGTACGTAACAACTCATAATATATGACAAACCTGATGAATCTATATTTTCCCTCTACCCTTTCTTCCTTTCTTTATCCCACCTTTTCTTAAAGAAAAATAAAACATTTAAAAAATAAAAGTCTTTAAATGAAAGTTGCAGTGTTTGCAATTTGGTTTGTTTAAAGCAGTACCAGATACCTGGTAGTATCTGAGGGTGTGGGTTTGAGGGTTTTTTTGCTTTCACAGAATTTGCAGTTCCAATATAATACATGGTTCTTCAAAACTCATTTTAGTGTTTTGTGTGCTAGTATAAATACTTTCCCTGATCTGCATAACACTGCCTAGCCCAATCTCATCAGATATTGAAAGCTAAGCGGGGTTGGCCCCGATCAGAATTCGGGTGGGAGTCTACCAAGGAATACCAGGGTCACTATGCAGAGGCAGGCAATAGCAAACCACTTCTGAAGTCTCTTACGAGGTCACCGTAAGTCAACTGCGACTTGATGGCAAAAATAAATATCTTGCAGAGTCACATTAGAGGGCATTTTTTCATAACACTTGTGCATGTTTTGCCTTTTCTATTCAGGTATTTCTGAAATTTTTAATATTACTAAATATAATTTATAATTACGAACTTTAATAGTTAATATTGATTAATAATAGATCATTATTACATCAGATGCAAACAAGTGTTGCTGAGCTGTACACAGTAAGTTTGTTTCACTTGTGATTGTGAGATGGTGCAGTTATGAATGACCCTGTGGAGCCTGGGGTGGGTTGTGGTGCTCCTAATGGCCCAGCTGGAAGAGTAGACTGGTGGGTTAATAGAGCCACTGGGATGCTGGCAAGAGGGCAGGGCCCACTCTGACTGCCCTGGCTGTCAAAAGGCCAGGCCAGATGAAGGAGGGCCAAGGCAAGAAAAGGTGACAGCACTGTGGTGCAGCAGGGATGGAGATAGCATCTGCCCTGAGGGAGGGAAGGCAGCTGAAGCCAGAGTGGACCTGGGACAGCAGCCACCAAGGCCAGGGAAGCCAGAGGCTGGAATGAACCTGAGGAGTGGGGGAGGCAGTGGCCTGCAAGGAGCCCCAGAGGCCAGCAGGGAAGAGGCCTGTGAGGAGCTGATGGTGTGTGGAGGGCTGGCAGGTGGCCTCGGGTTGCCATTCACAGAAGGTGGGGAGAAGAGAGCCAATGAAGAGGGCTGCCAAAGTAAAGGAGGTCCCTCTCTGGCCGGGGCTCCCAGTTGGGACACCGGGCCTGGGTCGGATATAGGCACAGACATGTGAGGGAACATGCAGGCCAGGAACAAGAGGAAGATGTTGAGGCAGGACAGTTGCATAATAAGAAGTCATGGAGGATCAACAAGGAGCCTGCCTGCAGTCAAGTAGCCAGGGGACCTAGTGTGAAGCTGCAGGTGTCCATCACACATTATCGTTGTTCATAAACAGAGGCATATGGAAGCCCTTATTTTCCTTTAAAAATGGGCCTATTTGATTTATTTTATTTTCACTTGTGCTGTTCCAAGAAGTTGGATCACATTAATATTATTTATTTATTTGTTGTCTTCACTGTTTTTGCACTCAGAGTCATAAACAGCAAACATTAACATTAAACTACTGCTTTGCTTTTTCCATGTAGGACTTTTCTTTTTGTTAGAGATGGAAACCCAAATAAACAGAATGTGCACAATGAGACGTCTATGCACTTGCTTTGTATGGGACCTCAAATTATGATATCGGATGGAGTTCTTCAGCCTCGCTTGACTCGGCCCTTTGAGGACGATTTCAGAAGAGCAGATTGTTTGCAGATGATCTTGAAATGGAAAGGAGCAAAGCTTGACCAAGGAGAGTATGAAAGAGCAGCTATTGATGCTGTAGATAACAAAAAAAATACACCATTGCACTATGCTGCTGCCTCAGGGATGAAGACCTGTGTAGAGGTAAACTGTAATTTCAAATGTATAATAGAACTAACTACAAAGCATGTATCTGTTCTAAAAGATAAGGCAGACAAAGGGGTAAAGAAGACCAACTCTAGCTAATGATGTTACCAGAGGTCATTTCGGGGGGGAACGCGGGGGGACGCAGTTCCCCCGGGTGAGGTACAGGGGAGCGGGGCACATGACGAAGCCCCTCCCCCTGCTTCCGGCCGCCTCACCTCCGGCCCTCATTCAGCCAGGAGGAGGCAGGAGAAGAGGGAGGGTAAGTTGCTTCCTCCCTGCCTCTCCCCATCCCTGCCTGCCTGGGGCCATGGAGGGCCTTCGCGGGGCTTCCTTGCACTCCCGCCGGCCTTGCAGGTCCACCGCCGGGCCCTTCATGGGGCTCGGCAGTGGAGCTGCAAGGCCGGCGGCGGCGGCCGGGACCATTGGGGGCGGGGTGTGTGGCCTTATGACACACCTCCAGTGATGTCAGGGGGAGTGGCCTTATGACACACTTCCGGTGATGTCAGGGGGAGTGGCCTTATGACACACTTCCGGTGATGTCAGGGGGTATGGCATATTCTAATAAGTTATGCTAATGAGTTCCCCTAGCTCTTTTTCTACGAAATGACCCCTGGATGTTACTATTAAAAAGCATTTAATATTGTATGTGAAAAACAAATGATGAAATAGCAGCCACAGTGTTATGTTTGTATATGTCATGAAAATAGCCACACGTCAGGGGGGGAGTCTATGTACTTTGCTACTTTATCACTTCCTTTTGGGAATGTTTCTGTAAAATTCATAAAGTGAAAATTCGTAAAGCTGAGAGTTGATAGTAAATAAAATTGTAGTGTTTTTTACATTTATTGTATGGTATATTCTGATTAATCTTCTTAATGGGGAGGTCCACAAAAATAGTCCCAAGATGTTTTATTAGATACAGTAACAAATGGAGTTTTGTCTGACCATTCTGCCCTGAAAGTTACCTCCTTCTGAGCACACTGTGCTTGACAGCTTAAAAGCTGATTTGCATGCTGAAAGTAGGTTAACATAGGGGTGTATTCATGAAGCTACCTATCTGCAGTTCAATCTACCTAATTAAACATTTGATCCAAAACGTCCTGTTACATTCTTTTCAAGTGGCACAGCCAACTGGCCCATTTTATTAGGCTTGCCTTAATTTTACAGGAAACTTGCAAATTGATGGGCTCAGTTCTATAGAGCTTTACAAGTCAGCTGCCTCTGAACCTTGCCAGTGCATATTCTCTTTTACCTTCTTGCTTGGAGTTTACTTGCAGGAAAGTGTATACAGGGAGCCTGACTTTCATTATTTGTACTAGCGATACAGAGGAAGGGGTTGTCACTGGCAGAAGCTGTTGTACTGGTCCTTGCTTATTTAGACATTAACATTCCTATGATTTGAAGGATGAGGAACGTGCTGCTGACTCATGTGCTCCCTCCCTCATTTTCTCATATGTCAAGTGGACGAACTGGTGAGTACAAGCCATCGTGTAAAGGCAAATGGTGGTTTGCCAAGAAAGAGGAAATGAGGCTTGAGTATGGTTACGGTTATGCCATGGCGCATGAACTAAATCCATAAAATTTGGCATTGGAACAGCCTTTGTAGCCCATCTGTTTGATCCTAGAAGTACTGTTGCCACAATACCAGTTCGTGAGCAAAGGGTGTGAATTAAATTGGCTTAAACTAAGCCTCCAAATACTAGTTCAACCGATCACCATTCTTTATGGATGATTGTGTACATTGTTCCACCAGTTAAAATGTTTATTGGGTTTCTCAGAGGAATTCAAATCAGATAGCTTTGTCGTACTTCAGTGACAAGCCTTTTGCAATCATAGTATTAGCTATATTTATGTGTCACTAAAATGAGCAGTTTTGTATGTGTTACTGTACACTTAAACCAGAACTTTCAAAGCTGGCATTTTTCTCTCTGTTGTCTTGTTTTTGTCCATGGTAGCCATGATATTGGTTTACATGGATCGATGGTGTTGGTTTTAGGAAAAAAGAAGTGTTTGGACATTGTCCTCCCCTAAAATTGAAGAGTTTGAGGAGAGAGATCAGGAAATTGATTAATGAGCCCCCCCACCCCCAGTTCAGAAATTAGACATAGATTACTAGTATAGTTGAGAATTTGAAGCAGCAATCCCCAGTGTGATTTTTGGTGTTGTATTTGAATCATAAAGGGAAAACATTGAAAGGATCTTGATTGAAACTGGGGAAGGGGAGCTTTGGCTCACTCCGTACCGGCTGACTGACTCATAAAACGTGGAGGTCCTCCCTAGCAGGCGCATCAAAGCCATGTACTTTGAACTTGGCCACAATCACAATCACAGACTTCCTGATGTTTCTTACCTTGGCAGCCTCTCCCTGTGGTCACAAAGGGAACTAGTCCTTCCCTTTCTTTGGAAGATGCAAAGCTGCAACAGAACAGAAGAGCAAAGAGTCTACCATGTTCCCTATGGCAGCTGTTTTGTGGCAGTGCCAGCTATCTTTCCTCAACATTTCTCAGTTTTGAGAACTCCAGTCTTAGAAGCTCACAGTGCTATCCTAAGCAAAGTTCAACCCTTTAAAGTCCATTGAAGTGAATGGGCTTAGAAGGGTATAACCCTGTTTAGGATGGCACTGTTAGTTACCTCATTCAAAATTCTGGTGCCATGTCAGAATTGTCTCTCAAATTGTTTTCATGTCTGAGTTACTTCATCAGCTTTTCTTGGTGAATGATGGGGAAAAAATCTAGTGTGTTTTTTTGTTAAATTCTCAGTATTCTTCATCTTTTCCAGGCTTCAGTCAGTCACTGGGGAAAGCCAGTTTGTTCAAGTATCTTCATTTCCCCCCCCCCCCATAGTAGGTTATGGTGGGTTATGTTTAGGTAATCTTTCTTATGTTTAGTTCTCTGGATGGCTTCCATCTTGGTTAGTTTTCATCTGGTTTGTGACAAATATGGATTCAAGATGGATTTCCAAGGATGTATATAGATAATTCCAGTAGATAAAGTATCTTTCTGTTTACTTTTCAGCTTCTAGTGAAACATGGTGGAGACTTGTTCGCTGAAAATGAAAATAAAGATACTCCTTGTGATTGTGCAGAGAAGCAGCATCACAAAGAATTGGCACTCAATCTAGAATCCCAGATGGTGTTCTCACGAGATCCTGAAGCTGAAAGCATTGAAGCAGAATATGCTGCTTTAGACAAAAGAGAGGTGAAATACAACTTGTATCTGATTACTCTGAATTGAGCTATGCCTACCTAATCCATTTGTCACAAAAGTGTACTTTGTCCGCTCATGTACTAAGAATAAATATATTCTTGATCTGTATCTGTTGCAGAGGAAGAACACTGTCAGATATCTTTAAGGGTTCAAACAGCTCTAGAATGCACATATAGAAGGAAATAGCACTGAAAGTTTCTCTGCTTAACTGATAACAGGAATTGAATTATCATATAGAGCTGGTTTTATTACGTCTAATAATCTAGGAAATAACTAAATAAGTTACCAGTTTTGCAGCATGGATTTTGGAACTTTGAAATGATAGGTTCAATAATCTGTAGAAAAGAAAATGATGTCTTAATTAATATTTTACATGATATTTCAAGTATATAAGAGTGATTTCAGAGAACTAAAATATGATGTTACATAGAACACCAAAATATTACAGACCTTGTCGATATTATGAATCTGCCTTCTGTTGTTACGTTTAACTTCATAAACACATTAAAATGTATTAATCTGAATTTTTCATAGCACCCCAGGCAGGGCGAGGTTTTAAATTCTAACCTTTGATCGAGGCTTTCAGTTGCAGTCATTAGAATGGTCTGCAGTCAAGTCAAACCTGGCTATAAATCTAATGGCAGAATGGAAGGGCATTTAGCTGTTCCTTGGCCTCCTTGTGATTGCTTGAGCTGTGGCAGTGGGAAACTGAGAGAAACTGGACTCTCAGCTGAAGCTCAGCTCAGCATGAGGCAGAATTGCCCAGCTGCCTCCTGCTCTCCCTTCTGTGGTCTCCATGAGTTAAGCTGGGAAAGAGAATTCATGAAAGCAAAGAGAGTTCTTGATTCCACACAAAGCCTACTCCCAGTCCTTAACTGCGTTTAAGACATCCCCGATCAATATCCAGTTTTGCCAATTTTTGCCATAAGCTGTGCTATCAATGACCTTAGCAGACACCTTTTGATTCAATTAATTGCCTATATCCTTGGTTTATTTTATTAAGATTTTATGGTTTTATTATATCTTAAATTTTACTCTATTTCATACCAATGTTCGTATTTATAGCATCCCTCTCTGTTGTTATCCTTGGTTTGTAATGGCCTATGGCTAAAAACAAATTTCTATTCAGACATCTCCAATCTTGCTCCTGCACAAGTTCTGGGAGGTGGTAATCATCAGTGTCTCTCAGCCATGCATCTTGTAAAATTAGGCCGCTGATCCTGTCCCTTATAATAATGCCGTTTTGGCCTCCAACGTTCGATGTGCGCCAACAGTGGTTGGCGGCTTGAACTGCCACTCAGCATCTGCCTGCAAATCAGGCGAAGCCCGCATCCCACCCACACCACCACTGCCCCCGGCTTCAGAGGCCTGCGGGGGGAGCAGGTGAAGGACAGCGGCAGCGCTGAGCCGGCCGTCGCGGGCCCGTTTTTACCTCTTCCCCTCTCCCGGGCTTCAGAGGCCTGTGGGGGGAGCAGGTGAAGGGTGGCGGTGGCACTGAGCCAGCCGCTGCGGGCCTGTTTTCGCCTCCCCCCGGCTTCAGGGGCCTGCGGGGGGAGCAGGTGAAGGGCGGCGGCAGTGCTGAGCTGGCCGCCGCAGGCCCGTTTTTGCCTCCCCCCCCCCACTTTCATCCTCCCACCCTTCCTACCTTTCTAGGGCTCGTTATCTTTCTCCGCAATGGGCTTTGCTTCCTAGTAATAATAATAATCTACTTAACATAATTTTTTTAAGAGCTAGATAGAAAATGAATGTAAAGCACTTTGACCAATTAGGAAAAACATAAATTAGCAGAAATGGTGTTTTTTTCACCTTGGCATCTAAACTGGAGTTTTAGTGGTAGGGCTTCCAAGTGATGTCATGCAATAATCATATTTCCAGGCTGTCTCCCAAACCTGTTTTACTCCAGTCTTTTTGGAAAGAACACTGACTAAGCACGTTAGCACTCTGTCTGGAAGGAATGGTGTTCATTTTCCCACTGCTGCACCACTGGGGGGCTTTTTGAGCTTTTTTTAAACATTGGTAACTGCTGTGGTGCTATTTCAATCTGTTGCCTCTTATCTGTTTCAAAGTTTTATATCACTGTTATAACACTATAGTGCATGCATGAAGAAAAGGGAGGGGCAAATCACTGCAGCAGTCATTATGATGTTGTACCTCAGAGCCAATGTGGAAAGTGCACAGATGACTCCTGCATGTGGAACCTTCCTTGCCAACACGCAGACTTCCGCATTTGCAGCAGTGATGAAAAGAACACAGAGAATCCCCATTCTTTGGAAGCAGCCTACAACAACCATGGCCCAGTTCCCCAAAAGCCTAGTGAATCTATCCTTAACAGGGAACAGTTCAATGGGCTAAAGTCTGGCTCCAGAATTCTGTCCGTATTACAATACAATAAAGTTTTAAAAACACATTTTAATTTTGAGGAGAGTTAATCTTATTAAACTAATAATGAAAGACAAAGAAAGCTCGCTGTAACCTAATTAATATAAAAAGCAATTATAGCAACTGACTATATTTTGTGCTATATTTGATCATTTCACCTTCACTGCTGGTTTTCCGGTTCACTACTTTAGTCCGTAAATAGAAAATGCTAATCTTCATTTTCTAGATCTACAAAATAAAAGGCAGCTTGGTTTGACTCTTGTATGAGAACAAGGTGACTTTAAATATAGGGCATCGGCAGAGCCACACATTTCATGTATGCAGCACAGACATGAAGCCTCTTTATACCGAGTCAGAGCATTGATCCACTATGGTCAGTATTGTTTACTTCAACTAGCAGTGGCTCTCCAGAGTCTCAGGAAGAGGTGTTTCACTTTACCTACTACCTGATCCTTTCAACTGGAGCCGCTGAGAATTAAATTTGCAAACTTTCGAATGCAAAGCAAATTCTCTGCTGCTCTGCCATGACCTTGTTCTGTGACCTCTCCACTATTGTAATTATTCACATGAAGACATGGAAGAATGTGCACAAGTGAGCAATGTGAGTAAGGTTTTCTTGTACTGTCTGGTTAATATGCAGAATACCATCTTGAAATAACCCCTTCTACTTAGAAGGGATTTAGCTTTTGTGCCAGGACCAGCTCTATCATGAGACCAACTTTAGACAGGCAACTCAGTTGGAAAAGGGGTGATGTTGGTGGTGGTTAACAAGCTCTCTCCTCTTTCTCCACTGACTTTATCCAGGACCTGGAATTACTAATGGTTCCACTTTGTATCTCCCAGTCTTGAGACTTTAAAAACAGCATGGCAAACCATGCATGCCCTGTAGGGCTTCCAGAACTGTCATGAAATTCCTTCCTCTTGTGAGAGTCTTTTTGTTTGCCAAAGCAACCATGGCAATTAGTATGGCTGCCAGGTGAGTAGCAAAATGTGTTGAGCCAGCACAGGCCCACAGCCTAGCTCTTATCAAATAAAGAAACCAACAGTGAAGCCAAGGAAAAGTACTTTAAAGTCACATCTGTGTCAGTGGTATAATTAATCAGTTAATTATGTTTCCCATTCAGAATAAGTAATTAACTTGTTTTATTACAAAATGACTCATGTAAATTGTATTTATTTGCTTTAATTGCCTTTATACTATTTTTAATAGACTCTTTAAAAGTAGAGAATCCTTTTAAGTATAGTGGTAATAAGGAACAGTCAGTCATACCCATTTCATAGTAGAATCATGTGGGAGCTTTGTTTGAATATGCAATTCAGAGTGCCTTATTTTATTTCACATGAGTGCTTTCTTTCTCTCTCCCCCCCCCCATAGAGCTATTGTGCAGTGGTCCATTTTAAACAGTGCTATGCTTGTGGGAGCAAACTCCATTCCTCATATTCATTATGTGTCTCTTTTGCAAAGAACACATAGCCGGTCATTTTCTTGTTGACATAAAATTTAGTAAGTAGGCCCACAGAAATTCCATTTCTCACATTCAGGCTTTCTTGTAAAACAGGATGTGGTTCTGTTCAACTGATGTAAGTAAAATCAGTAGCCTACTGTTATCAGAAAGAGGTCTACCACTTTCTAAATGAGAGACATTTCTAGTATATGTCATTGTTAATATGACTTTTTGTTTCCTTTTGAAGCCATATGAAGGACTAAGACCTCAGGACCTGCGGAGGCTCAAGGATATGCTGATTGTAGAATCTGCAGACATGCTTCAAGCCCCGCTGTTTACAGCAGAAGCTTTGCTTCGAGCACATGGTAATTGGGAACTAGATAGCATTCAAATGATTTTAGTAACAAATATTGACAGAACATGTAAAAATTAATAGATTTTTCTAACTGTGCCACCAAAAAAGAGATGATGATTTATTGTAAATGCAAACTACTGAAGTGTAATATTTCATCTTGCATTTACTGCTATTTCCCAAAGTCCTTGTATTGCAAAGAATGGAAACCTTTTGCATTAGGTGGGTCCTACTGCATTTGCCTAATGTCCTACAAGAGAGGATAAGGAAATTCTGCTTAGAACCTCAGTCCTGAAAATTAGCCAGAAGGAATTGTATACAGGTTAGTTGGCCTCTTGTTTACACTTCCTGGGCTATCTAGCTGTACTGTTCCTTGGATTTTAGAAGTATTACTGGTACGGGGAAATTTGTTCTTCCCTCCTGGCATAGTATAATGTCAGAGCAAAGGCATGGAATAACCTTATAAGGTGGTCTACTGAAAAGCTTCATGAGGCATGAAAATGAACTATCAATACTGTCAAACTTAAGGCTCAGCAGCCGTAACAGAATGTAAGCCCACTCCAAATATTCTAATACTTTGAACATCTTCAGAGCTAGTGAGCAATGACTTTAGTAGAACCAAGGGGCTGACTTACCAGTGGCTTCTACTTTCTTTGATTTATGTGGGGAGAGTGGGTGAGGGAGGCAGGGACTTATGGTGGGTGTGCACAAGGTCAGTGTCTCTAGTGTGATGACATAACTTCTGCCATGACCAGCAAATGATGTCATCACACTTGGGGGTATAGCATTCACCCAAACTCCATAGTTTAACCATAGAATTTTGGGCAAATGCTAGAGCATGTGTGATGCTGTCACATCCGGGTCACACTGGAAGATATGTTATCACACCAGGGATGCAGATAGCATGTGCTCCATTTTGCCCACCATGTTTCTACCACCTCCCAGTTACGGGGTGACAGGTAGAGAGGGCAGGAGGTCTCCAACAACCAGTGGTCAGAGTGGAATTTACATTTGCCAATGTTTATGAATCTCAAGACCTGTAGTTCCCAGCCTGCACTTGGGAAGAAGATTTCTCAGAAGACAAGGAGATCCCCATGTTCCCCAAGACACCTGAGGCTTCATGCACTCCGTGGGCATACCAGCTTTCTACTCTTCATCACAGGCTTCCATTCAAACTTGGAACCAGCAGACCAGGAACCTCCTGAATGGGCCTGTCCACCTCCTATACCACCAGAGTCTCCCCCAGGAACAGAGAAGGCAAAGGACCAGAGCTGAAGTCTGGAATATACACTTGGCAATTTGGAATATCCCCCAATCCAGTCTCTCTCAGGAATAAGATGCAGCTCTGCAGAACTTAGCAGAATCAGGGACCTAGCACTAGTTTCTTTGCAGGATCAAGGACCTAGCCCTGCCTACAGGAGAGGGTGGGACTCTCAGTTCCCTATATTGGCCTGCAGTTAAACCATTTGCTGGTTTAACACTTCTGTTCAACCACCTTGTACTTAGTCTGGCTAGTAGCTTATTACTAAGTAAGCCCCAGTTCTCTAAGCCCTGTCTCCTGGGGAGATTCTTAGCCTTCAGCTCCTGTCTTTACCCCTGGATACTGCCCTTTTTTGTCTGATTGCCTGTCTGTTGTCCTACAAAACTTGAGCCTTGCTGCCCAGGACACAAAAGGAGAAATTTGTATAACATGTGATTGTGGCCTTTGTTCAGTGATGAATGCTAGTGTGTGTGCGGGGAGTTTCTTGCTTCGGAATTATGAGTCTGGTTCTTTTGCCTCTGCAGTGGGAAGGAATCATATTCATATTTGGCACCCGTGAACTAGATGATCTTCAGACTATGTGATTTATAGTTTTAAAGAATTACTAATTTATTTAAAATACATTATTAGTTTAAAAAGTGAGTTCAGTTGATTAATCTTATGTGTATATGTAGTGGTTAAGAGTGTGGACTCTAATCTGGGAGAACTGGGTTTGATTCCCCACTCCTCCACATGCAGCTGCTGTTGTGACCTTGGGTCAGTCATAAGTTCTTTCAGCACTGTTCTCTCAAGGACAGTTCTTGGGAGAGCTTTCTCAGGCTCACCTACCTGACAGGGTGTCTGTTGTGGGGAGGAGAAGGGAAAGGGATTGTAAGCTGCTCTGAGACTCCTTTGGGTAGTGAAGGGCAGGGTATAAATCCAATCTCCTCCTCCGTCATGATTAAACAAACTGAATTTGTATAGAGTTGTACAGTTGGAATGAGCGTTAGAGCCCATCTAGTCCACCCTCTTGTTCCCCTGTACAGGAAACCCAAAACTAGAGCATCCTAAGAAATCTCTGTCCAGCTTCTGCTTGAAAACCTCCAGTGAGAAAGAGAGGCGGTCCCCCCCCACAAGATAATTGGTTCCATTGTCAAACTGCCATTACCAGTAGGATTTCTATGAAATCTGCCTTCCTGTAACTGAAGCCTATTAGAACTTTTCCTGTGGAGCAGTAAATAACAATTCTTTGCCCTCTTGTGTGTGACTGCCCTTGAGGTAACTGACAAGTGCTATCGCATCTTCTCTCAGTCTTTCAAGCGAAACATACCCCGTTCCTTCAGTCTTTCCTCAGTTGTTTTCCAGACCTCTGGCAATCTTGGTTGCCCTCTTCTGAACCAGTTCCAAATTGCCTATATTTTTATTAATGTGTGGTGCCCAGAACTTTACACAGTATTCCAGATAAGGTTTGGTTAACACAGAATGGAGTAGAAAAAAGTCTGTGTTATATTCTTATGAGTAACTGCAAACCTGAATACTGTGCCTGCACCTAGTGGGCAGTAATTGAGACCTGAACTGGTCTGGATTGCAGTAATGTGCTGTGGCTTGATACTAGTGACCACTGCTTGGGGGGGGGGCCCTGCATGCACACAGTTTGTAATACATGAGAAAGTAGAGGTTTTCTCTGTTTCTGTGTGTTCAGCAAAAAGATTAATTATTTAACCAAGCAAAATTGAAACTGTATTTGCTTTAATTCAGTTGCACCAGTACAGTTTATTTTTAGTGAATTAGCTTAGCTGAAGCTGTACTGCTTGCTACAGAGAACAGTGCAATCCAGCAAGCAGGAAATCTTGTATGGATATAAAAACATCGGTCGCTTCAGAACTTCTTGTAATCTCACTATTTTAACAAGTTTCAGTGAAAGAATTATTTACTAGGACATGACATAGGCTTACATCTTGTACTATACAGATGGAGCAGTGCTCATAGAAAGGAACTTTGTGACTTCTCCAGTGGTGCTGCAACTTGCCATGCCCCCTCTCTGAATTCCAAGGTTCAGTGACCCCTCTCTTGGGGAGTACTGGGGGGAGAGTCTGATAAAACCACACACATCCGTTTCATAAGTGGAAAAAGATAGTTAGGATCTAAGCTGTAAAATACTGGGCTTGGTAATAAGATTAAGAGGTGTTTCTTGTTTCTGATGGTTTCAGTGATGAAACTCTTGAATTTTACTTATTTTCTTTGTGGAAAATAGCATACTTGGTTCTTTGAAGCACACAAAAATGTTTTCATTAGAGATGCTCTTCAAGGTCAGAACCTGGGTTTTCTCTAGTTCAAAAATTCATTGCTTAGAATGAGCTAAGCTCTAGAAGTTTAGACTTGATTCATAATTAGCTCAGTCCTCTGCTTCAGACCCTCACCAAATGGCATTGGAAATGTGAAGGTGTGCTGCTGCAGCCTTTAATTAAGTTACTCTGAGGTTACTTAGAGATCCTAGTATTGTAGTTTCCCAGGAGTTTTGCATCTGCTGTGCAATAGTCTCTAGCAATTCTGGAGCCCGCTGCATTACTTCTGCAGCATTCCAGGGCATAATCGAGGTGGCAGTAGCAACCCTTCTTGCTACTGCTGCCAGGTAGGTTGGGGGTGGGGAATGATGGTGGGAGAAGGGGAAGGCTTGTATGGAGGCTAGGGAAGGGGAGGTGTTCAGGCCTGATCAAGACTGGAATGATGAAGATTGGGCCTAAAATGAACTACCTTGAGCTTTTTATTTAGATAAAATTTAGATAAAATCCCAAAGCTCTTCCACCAGGCTTTCAATTAGGAGCTGCCCTCACCACTACCACCAACATCTGTGGTTATGGGCCGGCCCCAGCTTTGAGATCGAGCTATACCATCATGTGACGCCAGAAGATCACTGAGTTGGAATTTGTCTGCTTGGTACATCCTATAGTACGCCACCTCAATTAATGATGGAATGATGATCACTACTAGCACTTTGTGTTTATCTGACTGTTTTAAAATGTTTTAAATGTTTTATGTGGATTTTATGGTACCTTGTACTAACTGATGTGAGCCGCCCTGAGCCTGTTCGCGGGGAGGGCGGGATACAAATTGAATGAATAAATAAATATATATAGCTGTTCTGAATCAATCCCCATTATTAACTGCGGTAGTGAAAGTGGGTGAGCAATTTTGATGGGATATAGTGATGTGGTCCATCAAAATATATTGGAAATACTTATTTCATAGTTTATATTTTCCATGAACCTAGAAAGCACATTTTCACACTTGAATGCCGTATGTTTTCTCTCCCTCTCGAATATTAAAATTGTAATTAGTTTAAAACCCAGAGTCCAGCATATTTCTTATTTTGTGGGATTGAGGTCTGATAGCCTTATTTTTGCTCTAACCTGTATGTATGCATGCATGCATTTTTAAAGAAGAACAGCATGTATTGACATGCATTATTTTCTGCCTGAAGTCCCAACTGGAAAACCAGAAGAAATTACTCTCTGGCCATTGTTGCCCCTAAATACAAAGCTTTTGATGTAGAAATAATGATCTAACATTGCTTACCTTTGTGAGAGGTGTTACTGACTCTAAAAGAAAGAAAAAAACACCCAGTTGTATTGAATTTTGGGTGGAAATAATGAGCATACGAAGCCTCATCAGACATGAATAAAAATTTTACTTTTCAGTGTTTTCCTTTTTCAAGGAAAAAAGGTTAAAACTACAGTTAGCCTAATCTGTACATTTATTCCGTTCAGAAGATGTTTCTAAAAAGTATTGTGTATTTACAGGACTGTTAGAAAGAATCTTGCATATATGCTGTAGAGTATAAATATCTCTTGATGGTAACTGCATATTGCTAAGCTTCGTCTCTCTTCCAGTATCTGTATCTTTTAACCATTTGTCTTCTCATTTTATTTAAGACTGGGACAGGGAGAAGTTACTTGAAGCATGGATGTCTAATCCAGAAAATTGCTGCCAACGTTCAGGTGTTCAAATGCCAACTCCGCCTCCAAGTGGATATAATGCTTGGGACACACTTCCTTCACCAAGAACTCCTCGGACTACTCGTTCTTCTATCACCTCACCAGATGAAATCAGCCTGTCACCAGGAGACATTGAGACAACTATGGTACGTTTCATCCTTGTCATAACTTCCTGCCTATGATAAAAGACCACATAAGGTAACTAAGAAAGTGCCTTTATATTATGATTCAGGGTTGCAAAAAAATATCTTAATGAATGTTTTTGTCTTTCTGATTTTTGCCATATGGTTTTTCTGCACCTGCTTGGTGTATGACTGCCATAAAACTATTTCTGAAAGTAATCAAACAATCAGGAAGTGATTATGTTTGATGTACTTACCTCACTTGTTTTAATTACTTTAGCATTTTACTTTGTTGTTCAGTCGCACAGTCGAGTCCGACTCTTCGCGACCCCATGGACCAGGTCACGCCAGGCCCTCCTGTCTTCTGCTGTCCTCTGAAGTTCACTCAATGTCATGTTCGTTGCATCTATGACACTGTCTAACTATCTCATCCTTTGCACGCTTGGTCTGAGTTCTTTTCTGCGGCCTGTCCATCTTGGGTGGCCCTTCATGGCCCTTCACAGCATAGCCCACAACTTCATCGAACTACGGAAGCCCCCTCGCCACGACAAGGCAGTGATCCATGAGGAGGAAAGAAATTTTTGCCTGCCAATTCACACCATTCAAACAATCAGAAGGGCTTTCTGTCCACTATGCAGCAACATGGCTCTCCACAATGTGGTGGGAGGTTCCATGCCTCTTTGCCCATAATAAAAGTGCAGCTCCCAGCCTGCAGCTTCTCCATGTGTTTGTCCATTTGGCATTATTTTCTGTCCTCTCGTTAAATGGCAGCGCACCACTATTACTGGTTAAGATTAGCTTCCTGACTTGCTTTATACCAGCTAGGAGACCTGAGAAAATGGTCCCTTATCAAGAAGGGATTTTATAGCCCTTTCCAGAACATTCCTCTGAATATGGGAAGAATGGACCCTCATATCTGCAGGACTACCTCTCCCTCTATCCTACACAATGACAGCTTCACTCATCTGAGCAGGGCCCTCTGCAGGTGACATTCTACAAATAGGCAAGATCAATAGCTGCCCACACACTTGCATGTATGTCTCTGTGAGAAAGGCGGACCATTTATAATGCAAATTAAAAATACAATAAATAAACAAGAAGGTACAGGAATTATGTAATGTATTTGTAGATTTTCACTTCTACTATATCTGTTTCCTTAATCACTCTTCTATTATCTTCGCTGTCATCTCTCCATGCTTACGAAACAACCTTCCCTTTGTTTACATTTTAAAGGTCAACCCACTAAAGTTCTGGTAAATTACACGGAACTTTACTATGTGGGATAGGTTGCAGCAGTCCATATGATCAGCATAACATTCAAATGTGAAAAATATTTTCATTTCCAGTAAAACTCTTTAAAAGCACAGTTTCTGTTTGGTAAGTTGCAGCTGTAATGTTATTGGGTTTGTGCCCTGTGGCAAAAATATCTCTCTGAAAAGATGGAGTTTGTAACTGTTTCCTCATGATTTTGCTTTGTTTTCAGAGTTAAATCCTTATTTCTCTGATATTAAATCAGTAATAGAAGTAACAGATCCCAATAATTTTATCATGTTTAGTGTTTTGTTTTGTTTAGTATTTTATTTTATGACATGCATGTATTCATATACACTATGATCTCTCCAGTAGCCCAGTTGAAAAAAGTCAGTAGAAGTATACCTGTCATATAAAACCTAGCCCATGTGTAAAAGAATGGTTCATCTGTAAACTTGCAGTTTCTTGCCTCCACAGATATGGGCGCTATTCTGACAAATTCATAGCAGTTAAACGATTTCCAGCCAGTGTTTCTTCTGTGAACTAGCCAGCTACAAGATGCAATGAAATGAACAGGCAATGGAAAGGTTTACTGGGGAGGTTTATTAGAAACTTTTTCTAAGCTGTGCATTCTCATAAGAGTTCAGTTTCTGTTCCTCGAGAGCATTGCAATGCAGGCTGGTGATGAGGCAGTATATTGCATTTCTCTGTTTGTTTCTATAGGTTTCTCCAGACCTATCCCTTTTCTCTCATGCTATCTTAATATGATAAGGAAATCCAGTTGATTCTCAAAATATAGAATCATAGAGTTGGAAGGGACCTCCAGGTTCATCTGGTCCAACCCCCTGCACAATGCAGGAAATTCACAAATATCTCTCCTCCCACACTCTCAGTGACCCATGCTCTATGCCCAGAAGAGGGCCAAAACAACAACAACAACAACAACCCTTCCAGGATCCCTGGCCAAAGTGGCCTGGAGTACAATTGCTTCCTGACCCCAAAGTGGCAATCAGCATTTCCCTGGGTATGTAATAAAGGGGCCACAAGAACTAAGCACTGATGTAACCCTTCCTGCCCTCCCTTCTCGTGATCCACTTGAGTTCACAGAATCAGCATTGCTGTCAGATGGCCATATAGCCTCTGTTTGAAAAACTCCAAAGAAGGAGGTCAGAAATAATGAGGAAAAATTTAACACATGAATTCAAAAGGCAGCAGGTCTAGTGTGTCAAAGGAGAATTAGTTGTACCTCAGGAATTCCTTATACAGCATGCAGTGATTAATTTTCTTACCTACTCTTTTCATCCACAGTGTGAAATCTGTATGTGTAATATTTCTGTGTTTGAAGACCCAGTGGATATGCCTTGTGGACATGAATTTTGTAGAGCATGTTGGGAGGCGTAAGTATACATCTTAAAGGCTTTTAAACAAAACAAAACGAACATTAATTACTAATGATTTAGCTTGATTTGTTGGCTTGTTCCTGGAGAGACTTAGGATTCCATTATAAAGGCAGTTTGATTTCCACCCTAACAAATGCCTCCCTAAGCAGTATCATACCCTTCTTAGCCCATTGACTGCTTAGGATGGCACTCTGTATGCTTGTTCTTACAGAAAGTCCCAAAATGCAAACACAAAATGTTTATCCTAAGCTCCTGTCTATGAACTAGTAAAGAGGCTAAATTAAACTATGGTTTATGAAATATTAGCAGTTCATACGGGTAAGTAGAGAATTTAAGAGGTACAGCACTCATACTGCTACAGTAATGAAGAGTGGTCAGGAGTCCACTGCTTCTTATAAAAGCTGTCATAAAACAGAGAAAAGTCTGAGGAGAAAATACAGCAATTTTGCTAATACTCTTATGTAGCCAGCACTGTTGTGTCTCCAAGATAGGCAGGATTTCTGTCAAGGGGAAGCACAGGAGTTCTACAATGAACTGCTTCAGCAGCCATTCCTTTTTCTGGAGAAACACCACCTGCTTTAGCATGGGCACAGTTTCAATGGCCATCTTACAGTCTATACTGTAGTATTCAGGGGTCATTTCGTAGAAAAAGAGCTAGGGGGACTCATTAGCATAACTCATTAGCATATGCCACACACCCTGACATCACCGGAAGTGTGTCCTCCCCACAGCCGGCGGCGACCTCCAGCGGGCACCAGCAGGGAGCTCCAGGCCCCGCCCTCCCGCACTTCACCCGGGGGGATGGCGTCCCCCCGCGTCCCCCCCCCAAATGAGCCCTGTTAGTATTATTATTCTACCAGCTCACCCTGCAGTGCCAAAATGTAGTTCCTACCATATCTTTCCATCAGTGAACCTCACGATGTGAGGGTAACAAAGTGCTTTTTGACTCTTAAACAAACCCATAAAAGACAATTGTCTATTTATTCTGTAGATAGTTTAAAGATTGTTCATAGAAATTGATGACATATGTCCACATTTTTGGTAACTTGCTGTCTTCAGGTTTGGTGGAATGTCCTCTGTGGATGCATGCTGAGAGCTTTGTATGGTAGCTATACGTTCTCCAAGCTGCTTACTTGTGGAGTTAATACATTAATATGTTATTTTTTCCTCCATAATTCTATGGAGTTAATATTTCCTTTTCCACCACTGATGCACATTTAACAGGTTTTTGAATATGAAAATTCAAGAGGGTGAAGCCCACAATATTTTTTGCCCAGCATATGATTGCTTCCAGCTTGTTCCAGTGGAGATCATAGAAAGTGTGGTTTCCAAGGAGATGGATAAACGTTACCTACAATTTGACATTAAGGTAAACATCAGATTGTCAGCATGTGGCTAAAGCATCTGTGCATTGATTATTCAAACTTTGGCCATAATTTAAATACTTTATTCTCTCGTTAATCAAATGCAGCCTTCATTAAAATAATCCCAAAAGCTTTATTATTCAGCCTGTTTCATGTTGTGGTTACTTTTTTATCCTGATCTAGAAGTTCCTCTGCATGTAGAAAAAATTCAGTGCTTTCGTAGCCCCTTGTGTAAATACAAACAGCTCTTTAAATTTCAGCCATATCTAATCGTTATGCTTTCTCAGTTCCATGAAAAGATTCATTTGTGATGTTGTCTTCATCGTCACCTCCTTCAATGCCTCAGTGATATTGTCTTTTAGTTCTACATATAGCTATTAAAATTTAATTCTCCTGTCAGTATTCCACTCCAGTTGGGGGCTAGTTGTATTAGTCGTCATATCTACTTTAATTACCCAATCATCCTTTGTTGTAGTTTTCCTTGGGGAAATTAGACCATAGCAGTGACCATAGCCTCAGTTGTTAGTGGGGCTGTTGTTTTATTAGTTTCGCCAAGGTGCCTTGGGGCACGTAGGCACTCTGATTTTGAAACAGGAACCAGTGCCACCTCTAAGTGAACCTTCCCAAATGTCATTACAAGGCCAGAAGCACCTGAGTCTCCCGCGTGTGTTACTTTTTGTATAAAATGGCATGCATGTTCCAAAAATTTTATGTAAGATTTAGTTTCATATAGTCCTGTTTCTGAGTTTTATACATTACTATAGCAAATAAATATAGTTGGTATAAAATAACTAGGTAGCTATTTTAGGTCCTCATATGTTTGTATACTACCAAAATTTACATCTTCAAACTTCATGTTGACAAGAGGGGTCTTATCCAAAATGGTTAACTAACGTCCACTTTCCTTTCCCCCTGCAAGGCCTTTGTTGAAAATAATCCTTCTATTAAATGGTGCCCTACACCAGGCTGTGAAAGAGCAGTCAGGCTAACAAGACAGGGGTCAAATACTACAGGTTCAGAAACACTTAGTTTCCCCTTGCTAAGAGCCCCTGCAGTGGATTGTGGAAAAGGGCATCTCTTCTGCTGGTAAGTTTCTTATTTCTCCTTACCTTTAAATTGCTGTTCTTTGAAATATCTCATAACTAATATTCTAGACACACTAAAATGTTAATGTTATTAACTTTGGAGTTTACTAACTTATTAAATAATGTTTGGTTTATAAATAAATCCTTATATTATAGTATGAAATCCTGTTTCAGATTTTTCATATCTTTATTCATATTTTGTGTACTATTCAAACACTTGACTTTGGTCAACATTGCATTGCTTGAACCATAGTTTGCAAAAATCTAAAAAATAATAGTCAGCTAATTGCTCTTATTTGTTTCAAGCTTCTTAGGGTTGATAATTTTATGCACTCAAAAAAGTACAACAAATCCTTATCCTGTATACAGAATTTTCTAAAGCATTTATTCCTTCTTGTATAAGCTTCAGTGCAATGTGACAATGGGTCTTGGAGCAGAACACATACATCAGTTTTGCACCTGACAATGTTCATTCTTTACTGTTTAACATGAACACATGAAGCTGCCTTATACAGAATCAGACCCTTGGTCCATCAGAGTCAGTATTGTCAACTCAGACCCGCAGTGGCTCTTCAGGGTCTCAGGCTGAGGTCTTTCACATCACCTCCTACCTGATCCTTTTAACTGGAGATGCTGGGGGTTGAACCTGGGCCCTTCTGCATGCCAAGCAGATGCTCTGCCACTGAGCCACATCCCCTCCCAATTTTCATCTTCAGTTGCTATAATTTCCCCACAAATGGAGGCAGACCTTGATTCAGGAAATCTGGAATATGGAGTGATGGTGGGGAAGAAGCAAAGCAATTTGCTAGTGACAATTCATGAATGGGCATTTCTTGCTTGTTGTGATATCATTCCATGCCATACTGGACTCTAGGGGATGTCGGGTTCTGTGCCTTCTGAAATAATCTTTCTGTGCATTTTTCTTTGGATCCAGAGGTGCCATTCCGCAGGCATAACTGCAGTTACGTCAGTGGAATAGCACTTCTACTGATGTAGGGAAGGGTGATTTTTCCCAGTTCCCCATCCAGCTATAGACTTCCAGCCTCCCATATTGTTCCTAGATAACCCCAGCAAAATTCTGGGGGAATCAATGGGAGAAGGTGAGGAAGTCCTGCTCTGCTTAGAATCCAGCCCTGCATAGTTATAAACTTTGAGGACATACATGTGAAATTGAATTTCATATTAACACAAATCCAAAGATGTGCAAGGAGCACTCTCTGCTCCCTCTCCCCTATGTAATAACATGTTATAATTTCCTTTTACATTTTTCTGTGTGGTTCTGGCAAATTTTTTTAATGTAAAAAAGATAAAGCTGTTATTTTACGTTATACGAAACTCCCACAAAAAACACTGTCATTTGATCCAGAGAAGGCATCTTGCATTCCTATTTAATACCATAGCTTCTTATGTGAAGTTATATTTCTGAAATATTGCTAATTTTAGTTGTTTTGCTTTTGGTATGTTGGATGTGTGGCAGATGTCTAAAGCTATTTTGCTGTATTTCCCGTAAAAAGAGTGAGTCGTGACCAATCTGGAAATTGTATTGACACATCTACACCCAGGCACCATCTGGATACGACATATCTTCTGTTCCAGGAATTAGATTGTTTCTCAAAAAAAGGAGTAATATTGTGAGAAGCATTGTGAAGAACCTGCACGTTTTTCTAAGCAAAATTATTTTGAATCCTAATCAAAGTCCATTCTTTAGTTTAAAACAAAAGGGGAGTACAGATCTCATATTCTCTGGTTGATTACCTACAATTGCTTAGTCTCATCCATCAAAATAAAGTGTTTTATTGAGTGGAATTTACTCTAGCTATTAAAAGTAGGAATAAAGCACCTAGGACCTGGGGATTTTGAATGTAATAATAGTGTGACCGGTGGAGTCCTTTGATATGCTGTATTCCATTGCCTGTTTTGAAAGTTGACCGCTGATGTAATATAGCAGTTAGAGTATCAGACTACAACTAGGGGAACAGATTCAAGTCTCTGTTCACTGGATGACCTTAGACTAGTTGCTCGGTCAGACTAACCTACTTAACAGAATTA